GTTAATTTTAAATGAAAAAGCCTACTCGTTTCGTTCGACACCTTTTATCAGAAATTGTGATGATTCCTTTTTGCGTAATAAATAATGCCTGAGACGATAACCGGAAAAATCAGCAAACTGTTCCGGTATTTCATTAATATTTTTTAATAATGCATAGCCCTCTTTGTCTTTCTTTTCTAATTCTTCAGCTGTTGTACCATTTGAACCATCCGGTAAATCATACAAAAAACAATCGTTTCCCGTATGTGCTTTGATTTGAACATCTTCATTAATCATCAAATTACAACATGTATGCATCACTCTATAATATTAATTTTCATAAAATTTAATTAATTCTAAGAAAAAATTAAAATTAATGATAATAATAATAAAGTAATTGACGTAAAAAAATTGTTGAACTTGTTCTCTGATACTTGACTGAAATCCGAAACAACTAATGCTGTCGTATAATTAATTGAAACAGTTTAAAACTGAATAGATAAAAGAAATTATTTTAATAGCATCTAAGATCTGTTGACATTTAAAGCTAAATTAGAACCATTATTCAAAATATTTGATGAATTAATCATAATGTCATTTATTTTATTATTTTTCCGTATCTTTTAATTCTCCATCTCACTTTATTTCACTCTTTCATCTCATTAGTATTTAATATATTCATTTATATTACTTGGTTAAAAAAATACCTTAGTAAATTTTGAAGTGCTATGATTAACTTCCAGGTGTTAAGAGTAAAATTTATGCAGTAAGAACAAGTTTATCTGATCGATATACTAGGCCTAATAATTAAATGAATTCAAGAATCAATAATTATACACTAATAACAAATGCAATTAATAAGTTAACTTACGGTGCAACAGGTGTTAACTGTTTTATATGAGCAACAAAATTGGTTTTTCCACCACAATATGATTGTAAATGATTGTAATGACATTTCTGTAATTATCTGACAAGCAATGATGCAAAGATGAGAATGGATAAAATGAAAGGAGAAAATGTAAATGCTACGAGAATTTTTTTTTCTCGAAAATTAAAAAAGAATTTTATTTGAAATACTAAAAAAGGAAAGAAAAGGAATAGTTGTAGAATTAGATTTAAGTTTTTTCTCTCTTTTTTTGCTCTTTCTTAATTCAGCGCTTTATGATATTTCAATGATTAGTGATATGTTACGACAGCAAAAAGTAATTAAAAATGTTAAGGAGAATAAAAAATTTGCTTTTTATAAAGTGTAAAAAAATAAATGAGAAAATTTATCCATTATATTACATTAATGATATGAAATGTACCAAATATTGAAAACCACAAAGGATCGGTTTCTGACAATGCATCCGAATGGTATCATTCCCGAAATTTTGTACGACAATAACTTGATCATCATCGCAACGATACGTTATTGTCGTTGAATGTTTCATCAGTAGTGATAATGATAAGAAAAATACTACTGACTTTAGTAACATTATTTACTTGTTTTATTGGCACACTATTTATAAGAAAATATCTCACCTAAAATAATTAGACGTTGATAAAGTTTTTTACAACAGATTTCATTGATTTTGCAAATGTAATATGAGTGATAATCAAAACAACAATAATAATAATAATAAATACACATTATTATAGTAAATTTATTAATTAGGATATTTAAGTTCATAATAAAAAATAT